TTCGCGCGCGCTCAAGTTCTAGCTATGGTCATGATCATCGTCATCATTGTCATCCTCATCCCCGTCATCTTTCATCGTCATCGTCATGGTCATGGTCACCTCCACCATCACCACCACAACAATCATCATCATCACCATTATCATCAGCATCACCATCGCCATCATCGTCATCGTAATTTTCAGCAACATCATCCGCATCATCAACATCTTGTTGGTCGTCGTCGGCGTCGTCGTCGGCATAGTTATCGTCATCATCATCATCATCAGCGTCATCGCCGTCATCATCCCCGGTCCACTGCAGTCCCCTCACACTCCTCCTCTTCCCTTTCTCCCTCTTCCAATCATCTTATATTCATCCGGTTGTTCGTCGGCGTTCCCCTGAAAGGGTTCCCCGTTCCTTCACCTCCTCCTCCTCCTCCTTTTCTGTCCTCCTCCTTTTCCTCCTCCTCCCTGTCTTCCCCGCTCTTCGGTGTGTCCCTCCTTGTGTTCCTTCACCTACTTCACCTCCTTCCTGCTCTCGAGCCCTCTTCATCCTGCGCTCCCCTTCCCTCCTCGTCCTCAGCAGCCCTCGCCGAACCAGAGAATCAGAGAACTTGATAATCTTACAAGAACAATGTCCCTCCTCCTCTGCCCCCGCCTACTCCCCCTCTTCGTCCTCCTCTCCCCCTCCTCCTCCTCCTCCTCCTCCTCGTGCTCCTCCTCATCCCTCCTCCTCCTCATCTCCTCATCTCCTCCTCATACTCCCCTCTCTCCTCCTCCTCCTTCCCTGCTCTCCTTTCCTCCTCCTTGTCCTCATCATCCTCTCTTCTCTTCCCAACGCTCCCAATACACACGGTTGCCTACTGGACCGCGTGCAGCATTGTGGCAGTCTCTGAAGCCTCTACGGGGCCTTCCTTTGGGAGTCATCCCACGTTGGGCCTTTGTTGGCCCGTCTGAGGGCCATTTCGGCCGCCCTTCCCCCCCCCTTCTCCCCCTCCCCCCCCCCCCCCCCCCCTTTTTCCCCCCTCCCTTCCCCCCCCTTCCCTCTTCTTTCTTTTCCCCCTTCCCAGGGTCCCTCTTGGCTCGTCGTGGGGACATCAGCCCGTCTTGGGGCCCTCTTGGGGCCCTCTCCCACCATGTAGGAAGCCTCTGGTGGCCCCCTCGGGCTTCCTTGGAGCTCTCTTGGGCCGTCTTGTAGCTTTTCTGTGCCGCTTGAAGATCTCTTCAACCCATCTTGGAACCCATTTGGGACCTCTGTGGCCGTCTGGGGCCCATTTTGGTAACCTCTTGGACCGTCTCGACCGCTGGTAGAACTGAAAAGGGAAACTCCCAGAAATTCACGTTTTGCCAATTTTTTTCGAGGGATCCCGTAGGGATCCTCCGGTGGCCCCCTCGGGGTTCCTGGGTACCCTCTTGGGCCGTGCTGGGGCTCTCTTGTGCTGCTTGAAGCTCTCTTCAAGCCATCTGGGGGCCCTCTTGGGGGCCTTTTGGGCCGTCTGGGGCTCATTTGGGGAGCCTCTGGGGCCGTCGCGGCCGCTGGTAGGACCGAAAAACAAATGTCTAAGAAATGTACGTTTTCCCATAGAAATGCTAAATGTTTGCCCTTCAAGGGCCTTCTCGGCGGCCTCTTAGACAGTCTTGAATGCCTTTGTGGCCGTCTAGGAGCAGTCTTGGGCTGTCTTCGAGCGCTCGTGGCCTGTCCAGAAGCCATCTCAGTGCGCCCTGAAGCCATCTCAGTGCGCCCTTCAACCACCTTCCAGACAACCTGGGGCGCTTGAAGCGCCTCTTGGGCCAGCTTGGGAGCCTCTGGGGGGGTCCGGGGCCCCTTCGCTTGGAGCCCTCAAGGCCCCTCCGGCCCCCCACACCAACCAGAGGTAGCAGTTCTGGGTTCCGTCAGCCCCACAGGACGACCCTTTTGGGCCGTCTTGGGCCCTCTTGGGTCTCTCTTAGGCTGTATTGGG